ATGCCAGTTCGCCAAAACCATACCGGTATGATAAGAATAAGGAAAAAATTATAGAATGGCATATTACCGATATGCTACGTAAAAAGATCATAACGCCCATCTCAAGTAGTTATGCTAGCCCGGTGGTTTTATGTAAGAAAAATAATGACTATCCTTTTGACACATCCAAAAAGGTGGAGATTCGCTATTGATTACCGTAAATTAAACTCCATAACTAAATATCCGGTATATCCGTTACCTATTATAGAAGAAATTCTAAGGAACATAAATCAACCAAATTATGACGACTTTAGACTTAACGACTGGTTATTTTCAAATAGGGGTTAGGCCTGAGGACGTGCCTAAGACTGCTTTTATAACCAAGTCTGGCACTTATGCATTTTTGCGTATGCCGTTTGGCCTTTCAGGGGCCCGGCAACATTTCAGCGATGTATGGACATTGTGTTAAGGACCTGTTCTTGGAAAGTCCACATTTATCTATTTAGACGATATCATTATTACTAGTGATAATCTCGACCAACATGTACAGGATTTAAGACAGGTGTTTTCTTTATTAAATGAGGCCGGTCTAAAAGTTAATGTCGAAAAGTGCAAATTTGCAGCCCCTGAATTAAAATATTTAGGTTACAAGATATCTCAGAAAGGAATAGAGACAGACGAATCAAAAATAATCGCTGTACAAAAGTATCCGACTCCAAACACGGAAAAGAAGCTCTCTTCTTTTCTAGGACTTTGTTCATATTATAGGTCCTTTATAAAAGATTTTGCAGCTATTGCTGAACCATTGTTAAAATTAAAAAGGAAAAAGGCAAGATTCTCGTGGACGGCCGAAGCCAGTAGTGCTTTCGAAAAATTAAAACAAGCATTAACGCAAGCCCCTGTGTTGAAATTTCCTGAAAAGGATGAGAATTTAGAAATTTCAGCGGATGCTTCGGATTATGCGGTAGGAGCGGTTCTTTCGCAAAATCAGCAGCCCGTGGCATTTTTTTAGCCGAACTTTAAATCAAACACAAAGAAACTATTCCGCGACCGAGAGAGAGGCACTTGCAGTTCTGTTAGCAGTGCAAAAGTTCCGAGTCTATTTTGGAAAGGCGCCAATAACAGTGTACTCTGATCATGCGGCGGTAACTAGATTGTACTCAGGGAAAAATTTATCCCCAAGGTTAATAAGATGGGCACTCAAGCTACAAGAATATAATCTGGTAATCAAGCATACCCCCGGAAAGGAAAATATCGTAGCAGATGCCCTATCAAGAATTAAAATAGATGAACAAGGTAATACCGTAAAGGTGGCAATGCTCACAGCATGTACAATAAATTCCCGAGAAACTGTAATAACCGAACTGGGTAAGGATCCTGAGTTTGGAAGCATTTATGAGTATTTAAAGGATCCTGAAAATTTTAGCCACCAAGATATTGTGGCGATAAGAAATAGGGCGGCCCATTACGAACTAATAGATGGTCTATTATTTTATACAAAAACTACGAATTCCAACAACGAATTTCGACCTGTTATCCCAGCTAGTCTTAGATTAAATATCCTGCAGGAGCTCCATGACAGCCCTTTAGCTTCTCATGCTGGTATTCGAAAAACTATCCAACGCGTACGCGAGGCAGTCTATTTTCCTGAACTGCAAAAGTTAACAAGGGCGTATGTCCAGTCCTGCCCAACATGTCAAGCAGTTAATTATATTAATTTCCGCCCGGCCGGGTTTCTAAATAGTATTAAATCCGAATTTCCAAATGAAATAATTGGCATCGATTTATTGGGCCCTTTCCCAAAAAGTCAGTTAAATAAAAGTCGCTATCTCCTTGTTATGGTTGATCATTTTAGTAAATGGACCGAAATTGTTCCCTTAAAACGAGCCTCCGCGAAATTAGTTACTGATTCTATTTTAAATAAATATATTTTAAAATACGGGGCGCCCCTAAAAGTTATATCGGATAATGGTCCTCAATTTGTAAGTAATATATTTGAAGACATGTGCCAAAAACTGGGCATACGTCATTTAAAAATGGTCCCGTATCGGCCGCAATCAAATATAGCGGAACGGGTCAATAGAAATATAGTGAAAATTATCCGTAGTTATGTTAAAAATTTTCATAAAAGCTGGGATAACTATGTCAATGAATTTGCTTTCGCCCTTAGGACCGCAAAACATGATACAACGGGCAAAACTCCTGCTGAGTTATTTTAGGCAGAAAGATTATAACGCCGTTAGATAAATTATTTTATGTGCAACAAAGAGCCCCAGAATTTAAAATGGGTGATATAGAAAAACTAATTAAAGAAGCAAAAAAGAATACTGAAGTAGCACAAAGAAAATAGAAGCTCTATTATGATTTGAAACGACGGGGAGTAACTTATAATGTAGGAGATGAAGTATTAAAAATTAAGCATTCACTTTCTTCAGCACCAGAAGATAAAACTGCCAAATTTTTTCCACGATTTGAAGGACCATATGTCATAGAAAAAATAACTCACACGCTGTAGTAGTGTTAAAAGCCAGAAATGGTGAAACCTGCTCCGCAAACATTGATCAAATCAAACCCTACTATGATCGTAATAAAATGCAAATATTTTCAGATCTTTTGCAGGATCCGGCACGGCAGACACCGCAGGCACAAGCTCCAGAGGTGGAAAAACGACAAGTACAAGGGCAAGCCATTAAGAGGCAGGAGCAAGTGAAAAGAAAGTTTCCCCGCGGAAAAATTGAAGGTAAGCAAGAAAAAGAAGCCGTTCCACCGTCCAGAAAAGAGAGTTCACGAACACCCCCAGAATGAAGAAGGGAGAAGGACGACGTATGCAAAGAGAACCAGGAGAAATGACGGCAACTATAACCCGGCGGCTCTAAAACGGAAGATCTACTCATCCGACAGGACTCTCCGCAGCAAATGTCGCCGAACTGCGGAAGGGCCACCAGCGGCGGAGGAAAAGTTACAAGGAAAATTTGAACGGCCAGCAACGAGGTCCAAGCAGGAACACGAACAGAAGTTTCCCGGTTCCGCCAAGACCAGCTGCCATCAAACGGCCAAGACCACAGGCAGAGGCGAAAAAGAAGGTATTCAAGGGTGACCGAACTGGAAGAAAAAAGAAAGCTTCTAGAGGAAGGCACTGAAGGGCGAGCCCGCACAAGAAGGAGGATAAATCAAACAACGAATCTGCGCTACCTTCCAGGACTGGGCTCAGAAAAGAATGTCCGAATATCACAAAGATAAGTAAAATTTTATGTTACTTTGCAAACTTAAGTTAATCTTTCATTCTTACTGCAAGTGGCAGATTTCAAGAAGTTTTACCTCATGCGAGGTCTACCTTTATCGCCAAAAGGGCGAGAAATGAGTTGTTACCGATTTTGGTATTATGTTTTTCAATTACTCGCGCGTAAAACTAAAGTTGATGTATAATAGCGTTGTGTAAAGACTTAAATATTGTAAAAGTTATTGTATAAATTTTATTTAAAACATTCTGGCAAGAAAGAAGTTTTAGTCTGAAAGACTTTTTGAAATGTAGTTTATTTCAATGTAGAAAGAATTGGCACTTGCTTTGAAAAGAATAGAAGTTAACAATGTACTACTAATGTATGTTTTCAAATGCGTAAAATTAACGGCATGTTAATATGTTCTTATATACAATGTGAACTGTTATTTTAAATGTTAAGAAATACCGTGATATGGTAAAAGTGAAAGTAATGTTAAAATTTTTTTTTATTCGTGTGACTGTAAAAAGACCTAAATCATGGTGAATATGTGTTAAAGGTTGAATGAATGTAGTTAGGCTCTCTGACGCTACACTTCAGAGTTAGCCACTTTCAGAATAGTACCTCAGGGTTTAGAGTTGAAATTAGGGTGTGTTAAGAGGTCTTGTTATGTTGAATTTTAACACGTTAGTGTTTTGATTGTAGGAGGAAGTGTTGAACACGTATACATAAACACATTCGTGTTTGGTGTTCTTTTACAACACATGTCAGAGAGCACGGGGAGAGATAATTAAAATAGTCATGAATGAAATAAGAATGTTAAGAGAAATATAATTGTATATGTTACTTGCCATTTCATTGTGTAACATTTCATTAAACTAGTTTTCCTTCCAGATCTCTGGAAGGAACCAGATTTGAATAAAAGCTCCTGTTTAGATGCAGTACAGATGAAAAAAAATTGTTGTATATCCTTGGAGCTGCTATTGTAAAAAAAAAAAAAAAAAAAAAAAAAAAAATTTCTTTCTTTTAAATTTCTAGTTTCTAGCGAAGAAATGTTTGTAAAAGATTGGCCTCGCGTTAGATTCTAGAGCTAAAAGTTTTCAACAAGGTCGTTTTAGACCTCAGTTTCAAACTAATTAACTCTGGCGGGAAGTATGTAAGGATCTTAAGTTTTACTAACGTTTATTTTATTTTAAATCTTTACTATCACTTCTTATTTTCTACTTCCGGCCAGAATTAAAAGCGTTAAGGTTTTTATGCAAAGTTTGTCTGGCGAACGCCAAGTATTTAAGTTGTGGCCTTTTTGCCAAGCGAGAGAGAGGAAGCAGTTGAGTTCGAAGCAGGCCGCTTACCTTAGAAGTTTTACTCAGTTGCTGGTTGCCTTCCAGGCCAGAGGTTTTAATCCTCTTGATAATTTTAAACGTATTGTAGTGTTCTAACAGTTTCTCTGTACTACATACGGCTTCCTGTTAATATAAGGCCAATCTTCCACGTTTATTATTTAAAGTTAAATTAGAGTTTAGTTTTATTTTTATACTTTTACGTTAGACCACAAGTAGCGGGTCAGTGTATTCCGAAGTACGGAAGTTATTGTAATAGAGAAAAATAAAGGGTTTGTATACCCTTCTTGTGTATCCTGTCTACTTCCCACAATTATTGAACATAGCTTTAGTAAGCTCTCTGTTCCGAGTCAGGTCCTTGTATGTTCCCGAAGAAGGTAAGAAGGAACATTGACCCTGATAATATTACATATACTATATAATATTAGTTAACTGTATTATTTGGCATAAGTAATCACAATACCTTTTCAACAAGCTTATTAGCTTCTTGTTCTTCATCACTTTCATGTTCCGTTTCTTTATTAAAAAAGAAAAAGACATGAATATTCAAATAAAGTTGAAATTTAATTTTGTCATGATTTAATGACATTATACAACATTTATGATATATGGATTTTTAAAACTTTATGATAGCTCAAATAGTATATTCTATTAAGATTTAGGCTTAAACAATGCCAGTCTTAACACAAATTCTGATAAGCATTTATAAATGTTGTAATATTAAAAAGTTATTAATTAAAAATTTAAGAATATAATTTTTTAGAAGGTCTCTAAACTGTATTAAATCAAAATATTATAGAATCTTCCAAATTTAAAGATGAAACTAAATATCTAAAAAATGACTTTGTTACAGCTTCAGTAAAATCAGGAAAGAGACAAAATTATCTGTAGTTATTTCAAAGCAGAACTACTACATTTATGGAAGTAGTTGATGCTTACCATATGTTCTTAACTAAAAACATTAGAAACTACAAGTGAAATCTGAATTATGTAATTTAATAAATTTCAAACAAATAAATAATAAAATACTTTTTCAGATGCAATGATTTAGCTAATTTACAAGCAAACAAAATAGTAAGTAATAAAAGGAAAATACTAACATCCAAATGGAAAAACACAAATATTACAATAAAAATTTTAATACTTTGGAAAAGTTCAAAACCGATGTTCTAAAAAAACTTTTTTAAAAATCTTTTGCAACCTCTTTCATTACCATCCTTTAAATGTGTGTGTACAAATAAAAATAAAATATAAAAATAAAGTCCTATTCCTGCGAGATACTTATGTACTTCTTTATTTAAGCAGTCAGCTTGGTTAGTCACAAAAATTACAAGAGTAGTCTCCAGAATTGGCAATTTTGCAATACCAGCAATAAAAGTAACAGTAAATTTGTAAATATATTATCTAATGTAATATATATAACACACAATGCAGCAGAATTATCTGATGCTTCTTAAACGAAAACAGATGTGCATATGAGAACATTCTCCCCATATACACAATAATCTATTTTTGCTTAAAAATACTAGTTAATTGCACAAATTTGGCATTGCACACAGCCTTGCAATTCTACACATTAAACATTATACGATTTTTTATATTTAAAGCTGCTACAGTGTTTGCTAGTTTTTGCCAGATTTCAAAGCACTTGCAGTGGCTGCTTTAACAAGGAAGTACAGAAATATTTCATTTTAAAGGTTAAGATTACATTCATACATACATAACAATTATATTCTTAGATTTGCACTAATTAATAAAGTATCACAAAAAGGCTTCTGATGTTAAAAGATTAAGTGCTAAGCATTTCTATTGAGATTGCTGTCAAAAGTATTAATCAATATAATTTCCCCCCCCCAAAAAAAAGGAGATCTCACTCACAGAATTCTATAGAATTTATGTTTTAAAAACAATGGCAGGCTTCAATGCTAGCATATAGAAAATTCATATTATTATTTGCACAAAATTAAATCAAGGATTAGTTTAATGATTTCTTTTGTATGATTTTTTGATTTGTTTCTAAAGAAATAAATTTTTGTGAGAATATTAATAACATATTTTTAATGTCTGAAAACTTATCAATTACTAAAGTGAAAATTCTTTCATCATACCAGTTGAACAAGATTATAAATAAATGTTTCACACTAGTAAATCACAAAAAGTCACTGAATAGCATTTCAGGGGAAAAAAATTAATGTTAAATTATTTTCATTTATTAATAAACTAATCCCCAAAGCAAGCTGTAAATGATGTAAAAATTCCCAACTGTGAAATTAAATATATTGGTCAATTCTCATCGTATGAGAATGAAACTTTTTGTGTTTTATTTTTTAAAACGAGTACAAAATTTTCTCACATATAAGAATGAGGAAGAGAGAGAGACCATACAAAGTTTCATAATTTTTATAGAACTGATTATTTTTTTTTTCAATTAAAAATATCAAATTTCTGTAGCTTTTAAAACATTTTTTGCAGTTGAAAGTATGTTTATGAGCAAAAGTTGTAAAAACAATACTTGCAAAAATATGCATTTCTCAAAAGATGTCTTAAATACAGCACATTAAAAAGCATACATAAAGATGCCCTAATATAATTATTGCTCTGTGCATACGAGTTGGGAATGGAATGCACAAAGAATTGAAGACAGCTTGATAAAATTTAGTTTTACAAAAGAGACACTTTACAGATCTGGAACTATCTAGAAAACTATTTGTACAGTTCTTCTCAGTATAATAGAACACAATCAGTAATTTCCACTTCAAACTACTAATATCATTAAATGCAACACAATGCAAAGTGTCACTAAACAGCGAAGCTTGCACCTCTCTCAATACTCTGAAGTCCGCTCTGAAATAAAAACTGAGAACTCATGCTTTCTCCGAGTTTATTTAGTTTTCCTCGAGCCACCAAGAAATCTCCAGTACCTTCCATTTCTCGAAATTACTGGAACGCATATACAGTCAAAGTTACATAGAAATGCCAGATATGGTTATAGTTACATATACGGGATCAATTATGGAACTAACTACAGTTATACCAGCACTGGACCAAAATGTTACCATGTTTGAAAACTTTTGGCGATTACTTGCATAATTTTGTGATAAAAATTAGTTGTCAAAACCATCGCCATCTTGGCACTATCTTGCCAATTTAGCAAGATAGCTATTAACCTCAATACAATATAGACTCACTGTAATCTTATTTTTTCGGTAAAGCTTCATGTCTTGAGGCATTTCATGCTATATCATACAAAAGATAATAAAATTTTACACATAACTTGACTAAAATGATTTACATATATACAAAATTTATAACGATGCTCTCTTCCCAAGAACTGCATGTCCCAGACAGGAAGTCATACAGGCAACTAAGGCAAATCAATGCAATAATAAAATAATAATATCAATAAATAACACACAACAAATCAAATACTAAATAATTAAAAGCACAAATTTATATAAAATTAGGACCATGATTTTAACATACTAATTACATTATATACACTATACACTTAAGCACTATAGCCACTACAATGTCATTCAGCCTGTTCAGGACTGCAGTTTAGGAGAAAGACCTTTCTGTTGAATCAGATTCCATAAACACATCTTGTTACTTTGTCAACCAACATCCAGTAACTCTTGTGTCATAACGGGTTTTCATCTTCTCAGTCACCAAATGATTTGCTCTCGTGCAAAAATGTACATTACTTCAAAACATGCCTGGAGATCTTGAATATATTCCTCTGGTGATGAAGGCAATGAAACAATAGCTCATAAGGGAGACAAAGGTCCTGACTGAAAAGTATCTAGTACAGGAGAATAGCTGGTAGTCTCGTGGACAGCACTGCTATATGCCTGTAAGAAACAGGGCTGTGGAGTCGGAATGAGTTAGGCAGATTTTGGGATAAAAGGAGTCGGAGCTGGAGTCGCTAAAAACATGTCGATTTTAACTCCAGTTTTTATTGAACAGTTTGAATTTGAAATGAAATTAAAGTGAATTGAAAAATAAAATAATGGAAAACTGAGTTTATTATTTTTATTTATAAACTATATATATTAATAAATAGTTATTTTCTATTTTATTGACATATTAATAAATAAATATAAGGGAAGAGGATGGATGTGATATTTGCCATTATTGATTACACCGATTCATTTAGTAACAAATCTCATTGTTAAATTTAGGTAATCAGTAATAACAGCAATTATTGATCAAGCAATGTGATAGGGAAGTATACATTTGATTATATAGGAATTGTTAGAATTAAGAACATTTTTAGAAGATGTAGATAACTCTAACAGAAACTAGACTGTGGAATGATCTTGCACAATTGGAAACTCTTCTTTCTACACCCTATATAGCCACAAAAAAGCTACAATCTGAAGAATTAACAGGAGGCAAGAAAGGAAGAATGTGATGTTTGTTCTTTCTGAAATGGAGGGTTTACTGCAGGAGGAATCATTTCTTCAATGACAAAAAGAGAAACTAGTTTGCTAGACAATGAGATCTTGTTGGTTCAATATATGTAGATCCAAAACACTGAATTTTGTTGGATGATGAACAAATTAAAGAGGCAAAGAAAGCCATCTATGAACTTTTTTAAGAATGAAATTATTCTCAGGACAATTGGTGTATTCAAATCATGAGTCAAACTGCAGACATTGCAACTGAGTCTCTATCATCCTCATCCAGCGATGAATTAAACTTTGAGAAATATTTTGATAATATTGAAAAGGCTAAGGCAAAGTGAATGAAAATAAAGAACCAAGAGTCTTTAGATATAAAAATGAAAAAATACAAACAAGCTTTTTACATGGCCAGTGAAGAAATGGGGAAATATGATTGCTCTTGTAAGATACCTCTTTTAAACTTATAAAAATCTATCCTGAAAAGTTAAAAGAAGTAGTCCTAACAGTAACAGCTCTTTCTCCTCCTCAAGTCAATGTGGCCTCTAACAAAGAAGATCTTGCCAAAGCTATACTGTTTCTTAGAAATTACTAATGCTAGTTTTTCCATTTCATAAAAAAATGCTACTTAATATCAATAATTTGCTATGCCATCAATTTTTTCTGTAGCATCTACTATTTCTTTTATATTATAAAATAAGCTGTAACCCATGTGTATATGTTTACACATATATGAGGGAGTCGGAGTCGAAGTCTTTAAAATTACAGGAGTCTGTCATTTTCCCTACCGACTCCATAGCTCTGGTCAGAACAAAGGTAACTTCTGGCACCAGTCCTATTGGTTTCGGGAAACTTGATCAAGGTTTGATGACAAAATACACTTCGGGGCACTTTGTCAATAATCAATGTATTTGTTCCCATCAGCAACTCATTGCAGAAAACCTAGGATGTCAAAGGTGATGCATTCAAAAAACCTTTTTACATTGTAACGTTGCAGTTTCCCCGTGCTGCTCTTGGAATCAGCTCCCATCAGAATGCTTTCCATCATCCGATTCGAACTTCCAGTAAAAGACAGCGTTTTGAATACATAGTGAATCCCAGAGCGCCAAATAT